CTGCATGACTTTAACCAATTAAAAGTTAGCCGTAATAAGTTGGGCAGAAGTTGGCTATTTTAGTAGTCGACTACGAAAATACCGACAGGGTATGCATGCATTGTAAAAAGGAGAATTCATGCAAGGTGGTAGAAGAAATATGCATGAATTCTCCTGGTTTCGCTTTTTCTTCGAAAATTTATGAAATGTTGTCAAATATGCAAAAATAAGCACGTAAGTCGAACATATGCAAAAACCAACCCAACTGCCAAAGTATGCAAAATAAACTTTTTCAAGCATTTGCTTAGATTGATAATCCTTGAGTAGGTAATTAAGTTTTAACAATTTACTTTTCGATTCTTAGTTCATTTGTTTTATTTTCTTAAAGTTGGTTCTTCTTTTTAACATCACGGCTCAACAAGTTTTGGACTAATTTTATCGAGAACGGGTCGGACCTCATCTTATTAATTTTTTAATGCCGATTTCATTCCATCTACGAAATTTTTCAAGCACGTCTAGTTTTTGAGAAAACACTGTGGAGTATCGGAAAATGGCAAGGTAAAAAATTTTGCAAATTAGAAAAAAGAATTACTTGGACGTAGTTTTCCCTAAGCAAAAAGAGACGCGTTTTAATGAAAATACAATTCATCTGGTAGATTCCACTTCATTTCGAATAGTTGAGTAGAAATAAATGAAAAAAAAAAATCGGAAAATGAAAATTTTGTTCATTGAATAAATGATTTCAAGAGAATTCCTGTCAATCTCTGTTAATTTGAATTTTCCGGGATTTTTTAACGCATTTCTACTCAACTCATCGACATGAGGTAGAATTCATCAGACGAATTGTATTTTCATTAACACGCGGATTTATTCTTCGGAAAAACTACGTCCAAATTTACTATTTTTAATTTATGAAAATGACCATTTTATTGATTTTTTGATACTTCAACAATTTTTTCTCAAAAACTAGACGTGCCAGAAAAGGTTTGCAAATGGACTTGAAATCAGCACAAAAAAGAACTATAAGATGATGTCGTTGGCCTTTTCGAGATAAAACTGGCCCAAATTTTGTTGAGCCGTGTACATTTGTAATAACTTGCAAAAAACTAGCTCTACAAGACTTTTGGTTTGGCCTTCTTTAAGAAAATTGGTTTTTTCCACCTACTGTACATTCTGTATTTTGGTTACCCTCTTTTTCCACGCTTTGTATTTTTTCTCCATCGACATCATCTTTTGTGACTAGCTCATCTGGAGGGGAATGTGGTATAAATTTTATATGTATGTATTGGGTGTTAGATTAAGTGTAGGAAGTTTTTGTTCAATTTAGGCATAAGATATGTACTTACTCAAAATTAGCACCTTGCACTGCGACTGGCTCTCCCCGATGCTGTTTAAAGCCTTCACTTCGTACGTACCAGCGTCCTTTGGTTGACAAATTGTAAGAGACAAGAAATAATCCTCGGAGCGATAAGAATCTCGTGAAATTTTTACACGTGCGTCAGCTTCAATTTCTTGTCCATCTTTAAACCTTCATGATTATAAATAACACAAATTAAAAAAGTTTGCACATATTTGATTAGAAAATTAAAAAACTTACATAGAAGTTATACTTAGTTAATATGTACAAATTTATGTATGCATGAATGTATACAAAACGATCAGTGGCTCTTTACTGACCCACACTAAACCCAAATAAACTTATCTGGCATAAATATTTTCTGTTAATCACAATCAGTGTTGCCAGAACTTTTTGGACCAACCAGCTAAATTGGCAAAAAACCGGCTAGAAACGGCTAAAGTGTTTCAAATGAATTTCACTGTTTTATTTGAATAAATCACAAGTAGAAAGACTAGTTCTTGGAGAGAAGTTANAATTTATGTATGCATGAATGTATACAAAACGATCAGTGGCTCTTTACTGAACCACACTAAACCCAAATAAACTTATCTGGCATAAATATTTTCTGTTAATCACAATCAGTGTTGCCAGAACTTTTTGGACCAACTAGCTAAATTGGCAAAAAAACCGGCTAGAAACGGCTAAAGTGTTTCAAATGAATTTCACTGTTTTATTTGAATAAATCACAAGTAGAAAGACTAGTTCTTGGAGAGAAGTTACAAATTCAAGTTGGAAAAAATTTTGCCAACAAGAATTTGCAATTAGGAAAAACATATGATTGTGGCACTTGGTTCGATTTTTTGTCGACGATATTTTGGCCAAACAAGTTTGTTAAATTTAAAAATTTACAAACTTGAGCGACTTTAAAATGAAAAATGTAAGTAAATACTTGTTTATTTAATTAATTTAGNTAGGAAAAACATATGATTGTGGCACTTGGTTGGATTTTTTGTCGACGATATTTTGGCCAAACAAGTTCGTTAAATTTAAAAATTTACAAACTTGAGCGACTTTAAAATGAAAAATGTAAGTAAATACTTGTTTATTTAATTAATTCCGATGATTTGAAAGGTACTCGGCTGAAAAAAATGTATTCGTTATCGGAATGCAATCTCAACCAGAGTCGATATAGGAAACCCTACAGTTACTACGACAAAGAAATTGAAACGTATGGTGAAGAAAGCCGGACTAGCAAGAAATATATATTTAGATCCTGTTTTTTGCCCCTCTGAAAATTTTTAAAAATTCTATACAAATTTCTTATGTTTTAAATACAACCGCGGACACTAGCTGGCAGGAACACTTGCAAATTCCTGGAAATTTGCGTTCGTGCAGAAATTTGCAAGTTTCTCTACTTGATAGACGAACAAAGCTATTGTCTTCCCAGCGAGTTTGGGTGGGCTTTAGATTGGTAACCCCGGAGTACAGCATTAAGGAAAATATGGGTGGTAGAGGGGGTCTAACAGTTCCCTGTATGAAGTTTCAAAGCGCGCAACCTTATACTTTTTAAGTAATTTGTTATTAAAGTTTGTAATTTTCACCAACATGTATGGGACTATTTCAAAATATATAATGCACTTTCCACTAAATTTACAGGTTATTTACACTCAATATATGCGCAGTTAGAGTGTACACGTTCAAACAA